AGAGGCGTGCCACAAACACGCATGGTCTTCTTTGCGCCTGCCAAATCAATAGAGATGACCGGTAAGGTGGAGGGATGATGGATGGATGGATAGATGTATAACGAACTAGACCAAATAAAGGGGTGAACGGGGACACTAACTGCGGTGACGCTGGCATGTTGTTGCATGTCTGATCTGCAACACGTCCGACCACGTGAGACCGAGGGAAAGGCGGGGGAGAGCGACCGAAAGAAAGAAAGAAACAGAGAATCGAAAGAAAGGAAGGACACGAGCTGGAGGCTGGAGAAAAAGTAAAAGTGATGGAGGATGGGGAGTAGGGGGTGGTCCCATGGGTGTTCCTTGTGCAAACATGATAGACAATGGCACGAGGGTGTGTACATACGGTGTGAGCATGTTTGTGTTTGGACGCGTATACGTTTGATGAAACTCCCGGTAACAGCCCTACGCCACACAAAGACTTCTGTTGTGGTGACAGTGATTAAAACGTGATAAAGGCGGGCCATTGTTTATCAGCATGCACGAGCGCTTTACTACTAAGTGTGTATGTGTGAAGTTTGTGATTAATGATTCGTTGTGTTTGGAAGTCACTGTTCTAGTTAAGTACAGATTGATAGTGAAGGAACATTTGCTGGACACTAATGAGGGTTTCAGAGGGACTACTGCAACACACACACACACACACAGGAATGAACAAAGCAGGTGTAATAAGATTGAAAAGGTATGGATCCACTCTATCGTTATTTCGCCCTCAAATTCCATCGACTGCAAATCATTTATCCTGTACTAGGCTAGCCTATCTGAACAAAGGCAGTTATCCTGACCACATTCACATATAATTCAAGCCTAATTGGTAATATCCCCACCCCCTCAGGCACAGGACTCCACTAGTGGCAACGAGACTAGACTCATTTACGTCAATCCTCTTTCCATGTCCCTCTATAGAATAGGGAACTTTTTTTATTTTTATATCAGAACCAAATGACTTGCCAATGCATTCTTCTCCATATCCAGACAAAACTCTGTACTAAAATACTCTTCCTGCACTATTTATTCAGAGGTACCACAACAACACTTCTGAGTGTATGACACGAAACAGACAGAACAAATGACTTATGAACAGGTTTTTATTTTAGTAAATCAATAGGATACAGTGCAACCAATCCAATTACTTGATTTATGGAGCTGACACTAAAGCAGTGTTTTATTAAATATTTTGATTTAGCTTTTATTTTAGTTTTCATGTTGAAGTTTTCTTATTATTATGTTTGTGCTTTTGTCATTCATTACTTTTTTCTTTAGCTTTAATTCATTTTTACTTTAGTTTTAGTCATTTTAGATCTTAGTATAATAATATAAGAGCAGATCTCTCCAGAGCAGTAATGACACAGCCTGACATGCAGGTACTGCCATACACCTGCATCATACAGCTGCCAGACATTGCAAAACTCTGCGTAGGCAAAGAGAATGAGACCAAAAGGTGGTTGAAAATGTGTATGCATGTGGGAGGGGAGAAACACACAAGCACAAAAAAATCTTGAATATGTAAGAAGTATGCGAGTGAGAGCGAAACTTGAAATGGGCATTCCCAGCTTCTTCCCGCACCGAGGGGACGTCACCGATGGTACCCTTTGGTTTTCGTGATGGCTGCTTTTAAATCTCACTACAAAGCTGAAACTGAGACGAATAAATAGCAAAAGAACCCCCCGCCACCGCAACGCTTCAATGTGTGGTAAATGCTCACTAGAGAGAGACTATTCTGTTCGACCGTGAAATCGAGCGTGCGTGTGTACTTATGCGTGCCCCCCACCGCCACAGCACATAGATGAACTACACTGGCCTGATTGAGATCAAACATCCGTAAGACAACCGAACTGAAATTGATGCCGAATGCAACCGAGGTGAAGAGGGTTGAGTGGGAGTCTGCAGAAAGGCGGCCTACATTCATGTAACACGTGCACGTCTGCCTTTTGTATGACACGCAGACCTCATTTTCCTTCCCCATTGAGGAAGTGACATAAAGAGAACGCTTTTACAATTTCTGCTCAAGATGAACCAAAACTGCAGCTGGGAGCAAAACCTCAGGATGTGAAACCTCAAAACTTCATTCATTAGCCCACTGTAGTGCCATTCAAAATCAACTCTCGAATAAATCGCCTGACACTTCCCTCGTCCTTAACAGTCCACAGGGTGTTGTCCAAAGTGGCATAGATGCAAAAATCTTCTTTAAGCTGCAGTCCGTAGCTTTTTTGGGGTTAAAAATCATCCAAAATACATAACCAGCCAATGTTTAAAACTATCTGCTTGCCGTAGCTCGATTCAAAGCGGTAAGCTTGTAATAATGTTTTTAATTCCAGTGGTACTGGTGGATTTCCATGGGAGATTCGAGAATGTCTTTGCGTCATTACATCACATCCGTACACATAAAGGAGGAGTCTCGGCTAGTATAAGCTATATTGTGGATGTTGGAGGTGGAGATTTATAGCCTTTTCTCACTGCACTTCCTATCATTCAACATCAATTTGATGGCGGATTCAGAAAGTTTCAAACGACAATCACCAGTGACAACTGGAGATTCACCCACTGTAAAACGCAAAAGACTTCGTTCGGACTTTGGAGTGGCAACAGAAAAAAAAGAGACTGCAACCGGACTATGAGAAAACAAGGATACATATCGAAAGGACATTAGGTAATCACGCAATGCTTGCCTGCGTTGTTAACATTAACAATTTGAGAACTAAGTATAATTTCCACGGTTTTGCGTGATATGATAACTTATAAGCGATTGTTAGATTTACTGCAATGTCAGAACCAGAAGAAAAGTGGATGTTTCTAACTAGTTCAGATGACATTTTCCAGTGAAAATCCTTATGTTGGTCATATTTCCAAAAAGAATAATCTGTGATTCTGAATAACAGTATCCACACTGTCGCGATGACTGACAGCCTCACACATTCTCCTCAAACATCGTGTTAATCCACGCTGTGCCATGCCAAGGGTGCCGAAGTACAACTCAAGTAAAGATGATAATTCCACGAATTACTTACAATTGCAGATTTCGAACATAGATGGTGACAAAGAGGAAAAACTCCGGACTGCAGCTTTAAAGTTTCTAGCCGGCTCATAAACATTTATTTTGAGAACGAAGGAAAGACAAAAATGTGTATCATGACAATAATTAAACTATTTTAATTAATTACATACTGCTGAGTGTTGACAAAAATATGCAAGATAAGTAACAATGCATAATGTTTTTAAAGAAGAAAAATCTAGATTAACAACAAAGTTTTCAAATGTTGTAAAATTGAGAGATTAAATATTCAGACATTTTATTTATTAATTTAGTTTATTCATGCACTGACAACTAAAATGTTATTTTTGTAGACAAATTAGATGACCTGTTAATCCATAAAATTAAATAAAATATAAACTGAATTTTATTCGTCAGAAGTTGTCAAAGTTAGAAGTTGTCAAAAAAAAAAAAAAAATTACAAAAAAAAAAAAGATAAAATGGACTGAAGACTTTATCTGACCAATGGCTGAGCTCAGAAAACTCTTTTAATTACTCAATCTTTTAGGACTGTTTGTTGTGTTTCATAATGTTCTCATTCCTGTGATCACGATGAGATTCAAGATACAGATTTAGATAATGACGTGTTGACTTTTACTTTCTACACAGTTCCGGATTTTTTTGCGCAATCAAGACATCACAAGATAGCAAAGATGAACATGTCCGCACGTCAAAAATGCATGTCTCAGACAAAATAAGTTTTTGTAAAATGACACATTAGATAATGAAAAAAAAAGCATCTAAAGTAGAATAAACAACCTGTCAGTCAGATACTGTTCTCTGCACCATCCAATAAACCAGCTGTGTTAAAAATGACCTTTACAATCCACTTCCACATCTCCCCCCCACCATCCCAATACCCACCCAATCACATCACAACCCTGATCACAAAGAGAAAAGGCTGACTTGGCCAGGACCTCTCCATTACCTGCCACTCGTCCAGCATACATAAAGAAGAGAATCAGCACAAAGGGTTTTCACATGACTTTACTCATTCCTGCCTTTCATCTACTGGACAGCTGACCGACGGGGAAAAGAAACATGGAGAGAGAAAATGAAAACAATAAAAAGACAAAAATGAAAGGAAAACAAAACAAAAACAATGACCTATCAGTGCACCCCCCTCCATCCTCAACCATACGTCTCATCTCCCACACACTCTCGACTCCGCTCTATAGTTTCTTTTGGGAAATAAGACTACAGAGATCAATAATCAGCTGACCAGTTGTTGTGGCTCTGCTCTCTTATCTCCCATTCCTTTCCCCACCGCAGAGTTAGAGCATCCCCACCCAGACCCAAGAGAAGGCAGGCGCTAAAAACAGCCCCCTCTGGACCCAGGGGAAGCAGCTGATTTGGCAATGCAAAACACACTCTTTCATCAATAACATCCACATTTCCTGGATTAGTACAGTCTTTTAAAAGCTAAACAAAGTATTTGAATCACAAATGGCAACAGAAGTCTTGAAGTGATACCCAAATATTAATCGTATCTATACGCAAGACTTTATTTATGCTGCTTTATTCCTGATATGGATTCATTTTATGATGCATTTCTGACCTTTTTGGAGCTTTAGTTAAAGTAACTAAAGAAGTTTTAGTTATCTGGACTTTAAGCAGAGGGACATAAATCTTGGTTACATTAAAAATATTTTCATTTCTGTTGCGTTGTAAAGATTATCCAAAGTCTTGTGTTTGGACAGAATCTTCATTTGTGGGTGTAAAGTTGAGTTTGTTAAATAGACTTTTTACATCAAGGTTGGCCAAGGGAGGTTTAAATCCAATTAACAGATACCTTCTGATCAAACACGATAAGTTGAGGCATAAATCATTTGAGACCAATCATAAACCTAAACAGGTTAACAAAGACCCGTTTGTGAATAAACTGAAGAAAGCTAACAATGCAGGAGAGAAATGCAAGTCATTTTCCACTCACCCATCCTCCTTGGCTCTGGATCCAGGGCTGAATGTGGTTGTCCAGGTAGACGGTCATCCATTCTGCAATGCGTCCCACTAGTGGGCTCATCTCCTTCTCCACGCACTCGACGCACAGAGCCCCTCCGAAGGCAAACAGTCCCACGATGCGGCCCCAGTTGACGCCGTCGCGGAACACCTCATCCATCACACTCTCGAAGCTCTGGTACGCTGTGGCGGGTGTGATGTGGAGCTGTGAGGAGAGGTCGTTGAACGCTCGGGAATAACGCAGCTCAAACTCGTTGGCAGAATCGCGAAGCGCCTCCTTCACCGCGTCGAGACCCCCAGTCCCGTTTGTCTGATGCTGTGGGGATGAAGTGGGGGATCGTGGTGGGGTTCTGTTCATGGAGCCGTTAACAAGGGTCGTCGTTCCTGCCGCCCCCTCACCATTCTCTTCGGCCCCATCAGTCCGATTTGTGTCTTCTGTAAGTCCAATGTGGTTGCAAGGGTAGTTCCTCTGCGAGAGTTTATATTTAATGAAAAATACCACCAGTTCTCGGTTATAGTAAGACATAATTCACGTCGTTGCTTGTCGTTCTTCGATGTATGGATATCCACTTGCTTGTTCTTAGAACACAGTGCACACCCTTGCGTCCTTCTCAGGCTTCTGCCGACGCTCAGGGATGGTGCAATGGCTCATACCCTGTTGTAAGACAACAGTGCAATGAATTGATCCGTAAATGCGCAATCATTTTCACAAACAGCAGGAGGAGGGGGTGAGGGTGAAACTTTGGAAGAGGTTAAGGGGCATTGAAGATAAACAGCTTTTTCCACCCTCTAAAACCCTCTTACTAAATGGAGAAGCTTGATCAAAGGAACAGATGGTAGCGCCTCATCACCTGCCTCCGATGAAAAACATGGACAATTTCCCCTCTCTCCTTGTCCAAGACAAGGCTAAATGTACACTGACCTTGACATGAGTGAATTTTAAACAGCAGGGGGCACGGACAGCCAGCGTGGCTAGAATTATGATTCCCTCATTTTAACAAATCTATAATGGATCGTAATTGTGGTGCCAGAAGAACCAGCCAAGAGTCACAGACAAAAGATACCAAAGTGATTCATGGCATTTTTCATTAAAAATGTTCTAACAACTCATGTCTAACCCATTTACTCCTTAATGTATTTGATAGAATAGACTCAAATGAATGTGTTCATTTTATTACAAAAATCAAATCTATACATCTGCCTTTACAATTATAATTTCTGATGAATATGATCACTCATTTTGAGCCTACAAATGTGGATGGATGCATGCTCTAGATAGACAGACAGATCTAACGAGAATTAAAAAAAACTTTATTATTAAATAAACAGACAGATTAAGTCACTAATTTCTGCTGATTTCGTATTTTTGACTACATAACGAGCGCGAGGTGTTCACGCGCTGCATTATCTGATCGCTGTTTGGGAAGAGCGCGAGAGTTCTCAGGAAACACTGGATCAGTCAAACACGTGCTGACAACAACGAGGCTCCGAGCACAACACATGGCCGTTTCAAAAGCTCTGTCTGTCGCGGAAAAAATTATAAATATATACGATGTATATGTACATATACACATTATATTAAACCCATCTTTTGGTACTTAAGAAGAAATTACTCCTTCTCAGTCCAAATGTGACGCACACTGTCATTATCTAATAACCACAGCCTTTGTTGCACGTTTATATTACATACGTCTAATATTATGTATATATTCAGTGATGTTATAACATTTATTGTATCTAGGTTGATCAGCGGACACTTCGAGGAGTCAATTCATTAGTTTCTAATAATAAGGCTACACGCAGTGTTTACAAACACAATGTCAAAAACACATTCCTACATACAGCACACGCGCAAACGCAAGCGTGTGTGTGAATACCCCCTGACGAACACAAAGCTATTCAGTATTCAGTGTTTTATGCGAGTTATCTCAAGACACAACATTTATAAAACAGAATAATCTAATACAGTATTGGATAATATAGTACCAAAGTTTGCATCGACCAACCAGTTAGAAATTAACAGAAACAAAGTCTTATGTTAGCATTTTCTACTTTATCTTACGTTATCGTGTTATTGACAATGTTTACGATACTGACAACACAGAGTAAAAGAGCATTTAGCTTACCATCCATAACACAATCTGCTTACTGTTCTCGTAGATTAAGCCAACCAAGCAAACAACTCTTGGGAGTCTGTGTAAATGTTAGCTATGGATTAACTTAAGCGACAATATCAAAGTGCGGTAGATCAAAAGTAATACTGTATAATCATGTGAGGAAAAAATGAGCAAGTGCTGGATATTTCTCTTTACAAGCAGACCTCCCCTCTATGTGATAGGATATGATCACCTATGCATGACGCTCGCGCTGCCTGCCTACCAGCCATTACGTAATAACTAGCCTCCATTCTAGGGCCCATTACAGAGGCCGAGCGGAAACAACCAGTCAGTCAGTTCTCCGTTCTGTTGGGCAAGCAACCGCAACACGTATCACTTTCAGAGAAGTGATCGCACAGAATCACTCCAGCACGAGAACACGCACATAAAAAGGACAAAATCCAGAATTAGCCAAACATTGCCGCTGATCCAAAGCACAGCGCGAGAGCTTTCCGAAGCTCGCACTGTCTAACGTTATAGCTACTGAGGAGAAACGCTGGCTGGATGAAACTTAGATTTTCATAATTTCTACATTTTTTCGCTCAAACAACTCGCATAATTGACTTTACGCATGTAAGTAAAATCAAACACCCCGTCGTATTTTATTTACGAATGAATGCATGAAACGTTAACGTTACTGCATTTCTGCACGCATTAAAATCACAAAAACACTAGCAAGAGAGCAAATTAATACCAAGCCTAATTTGGTGTAGGGTTCTTGCTGACCAAGAATGCATTTCCTGTTAAATAAAAGCGAACAACGTCAATCTTTCCTCCCTTCGGCTAGTTAACTTAGCCGTGTTAGCTAGCGTCATGGAAGATGGACAGGCTGTACAGGGAAACACGGAATCATTTGGGAAGCTGCTATAAAGATAAAGCTCCAATTTCAAATTACATCACAGACCTTTGGTACTTACTCGGATATTTGGAAAGGCAAATTCGTGATTTCCCGCATGATCGATGTCGGCGTGTTTCTCCTCGATCAGAGTGCAAGTCGGTGTAGAAGAGAGCCGCTGTCAGGAGCAGCGCTCGGTTCAGTTCCGCCCCTTTACAGCTCTGCTCTTTAAACCAAGGGCCTATTCATTTATTACAGCAGCTAGGCTACATCTTATGTGGACTGCCTATGCTGGTTAATTTTGGAGTAACTATTTTACTCACTCATTCCAAAGTCCGTTAATTAAAGCTAAACATCATTCAAAAAGCAACACTCAAATGTTGAGACGCGCCATTCAGCGTAACTGCTACTAAAAACTGAAGAAGACTAATATTTTACGCAATTACTGATATAAAGTCCACACTAATAATCTTCTTAATCTAACCTAATCTCTATTTTGATATACATACTTATCTACGCTGTGAACGTAAATGTTATAAGGTTCGCGCTCACTAAACAAAGAGTGGTAGAATTACTATGGTAACCTTTGTTACCCCAAAACGCTCGTTATGCCGTTAACCGTTACAGCGACATCATGTGGCGTATTTAAATTAGTACAAATATTATCTTTACTAAGATCAGTCATTCTTTTTTTTGGAAATGTTGTTTTTTGCCGAGATATAAAGCTGTAAAAGTTTTTTTTAAACTGACCCCTCAGTGAAAACCTTTATATATAATAATAAAAATGTAGGAGAATATTCAATGGTTCAGACCTCAAACTTTATTGATTACTTCACCAAATGCTTTAAAGATTACATCACAATATGTATAGAGTTGAACATTATTCTGTATATTTTACATGAAAACTTTACACTATTTATTCATATACTATGTATTTATATTTCCCAGTCTCAAGGGAGGCAAAGTAGACATCCATAGTTGCAAGGGAAGGAATGCTTTTCAGAAAATATTTAAATGCACTTCAAGAATGAAATACATCCTTAATGAAAATTAATTGGGATTTGAATCTACACTGGCAATACACTACAAAGCCATATGCTGCTTGGGTTTAATGAAGATATACCTGGATTATACAGTACATTTGTATTCCTGTATTTCTCCCACTTCACTCATTTTTTAATAATGACATCAGTGACTGCCGTCCATTGCGTAAACTTGCCGATTCAGTCTGACTCCGAATCAAGAGCGAACAGCACTTACAAAAATCAAAGATTAAAAAAAACAAGAAAAAAAAAATCAATTAAGCAACTTAAGTGCACTAAAATAATATTCTTTAGATGTCTTAAGATTTAAATGATAAATATGAACAAACAAAAATGCGAATGCAGAATTAAATCTCTCAAAAAAACTAAATGAGCATGGTGTGTGGCCTGTAGAATGGTAGTGTCTGCCTGGTCTGGATTAACAAGTGTAATTACAGACACGTGTGGAATAAACGCCAAATGCTTTGAAAGCAACCATTACATTCTTAAGACAATTTGGGTTTTAGTGTGAACACACCAAAGCCAAATGTAAGTCTTTTACCCCCAAACTAAAAGCATTTTAAATGCAAAAACCTCTGTGGGGTTACTTGAATGAATTTGGTTCAGAAATTACTGTATAATTGTATGATGAATCAATAAAGAACAATGAGAATGGCCATTTTTGGACCAATCTGTAAATAAATATATCACTGCTTACTGGCACAAGCCCATTGCACACAGGGTGTCACTAACAAGCTCTTAACAACAGGGGTAGATCTCATTTTTGATGTTTTTGAAATATCTAGATTTGTTCAGCCTTTAAAAGACAAAGAATTAGCAGATATGACAAAAAGCCAACAAAACGAAATCAACAGACGATCAGAAACCAGATATACAGCAGTACTGGTAATAAATTATTGTCGCAGTCATCCAGAAAGAAAAAAGTCAAAATAAAAATAAACAAATATGACTCATGACACTAAACACAAGACGGATGACACGGCAGAAGCGGCACCCTGCTGTTCACTCATAGGGGAGCGACCGACGGCTGATGAGTCAGGACTGGTAGAGGAAAGTATTGGACAGTCAGTTCTGTGTTCCTGTACAGTCCTTCAAATCACAGGAGAGGCGTATACGCTCTGACCATACATTCGCTCTACAGCCCCGCTTTTTCCCCAGTTCATCTCAGAGCTGTGTTCCCAGTTCTGATCTAGTTTATGACGACGAAGGCTGCGCTCGGCCCAATTCGGGAGCGGCGATGTGGAAGACGGAACCGATGCGGAGGAAAAATCGCCGCAAAGCAGCACGGAGCTCCGGAATGAGGTCGAACTGCATCATCTCACACAGATGGTGGTAGTAGCAGGAGGCATGAGGCTTGAACTGAGGGAGAAATGAGAGCGTTAGACGTTAGTTCATGGAAAGCGTTAGCGTTAGTTCATGGAAAGATTTTGTTTTAAAATGTATCGTTTAGGGGGTTCCCTAAAGGCCTTTTTGGAGCGTCAGTATGGAATGCCTCAGTGGAATGCCACTGAGAATGCCTGATGTTATCAACAGTGATGAATGTGAAAGTATATTTTAGTTATGAACAGGGAAGATCCCCAGGGCTGCCAGTGGTCTGACTGCGTAATGGCACAGGTCTCTTTTACATATAAAGGTCATCACACTGACAAGCTGACATTTCAGCGGGGTGTTTCCTGTAATAAAAGCCTCAGCTCAGACCTCTTGAAGGATAAGAGAGATATCCAACACATTGTCTTTTCCTACAGGAAATAACACCTATTGGGTAAATTATCAGCCCACCTGTATGGTTAATAAGGGCACTATTTTTACAGTCTGTTTTTTCCACATTCTTAGATGGGACGTGTCAATATTTAACAATATAAAACCGAGATCAAGATCAAGGCCAAACCCAACCAGATGTCTACTGAACATGAAAGATAAAAGTGTACTATTTTTAACCTTCTAATTAATTAGTGACATGGAGTTGAACTAAGATAAGAGATTTAAAGGGATAGTTCACCTAAAACTAAAAATTGTCATATTTACTCGCCCTCATGTCATGTTGGAACTCTTTACAGTCAGAGCACTTGGCAAACAGGTGTACATTTTACAAATCTGAGGTAGAACATTCAAGACATTTTCCTTAACAAAATAAATATCTTAATAGCAAAATGAATTTCTCAGTTTCTGCATGTTCTAATTAGATGATTTTGGTTTGTGTTGCCTGATTTTTATGGCATGTATCTTCAGCACAGTTCAGGCAGTGCAGGCTGCAATATTAATAATATTACATTTTCTATGGTATTTGTATGAAAAATAATGAATAAGGCTGAATTGAAGCGCATCCCACTGGATGTCTAGGTTGCTCGCACTGCCATTTGAGCCGAGCGGATAAGTAGCGCAGTTACGTACGTTCTGCTTTCATCAAACTTTTGTTATTTTATCGAGGAAAATTATTTCATGATAATTATAATTATCGTTTTTATTGCCCAGCCCTACCTCTGACCTTTTCCTCTTTGATCATATCTCAGCTTTCTTTCTCACTACAGTCCCACTTGCTCACTCGCTCTCCTCGCCCATCATGAGTGTAAACACCCCCTATTAGTTTTTTTCTCCTATTTGCACAGCCAGGAATATGTACAAACACAATATTCTTTTTTCCAGCACACACACAGAACATGCATAGCAAATATTCACAAATTTTTTTACTTAGGTTGATCTATTGCGGTAATCTTGTTAAAACGGATTTCATAAAATTGGTATCAAAAAAGTATAGTTCAGGAATGGGTATCGAAGTCAAGGTATCGATATTGACATTTTTTTTAGCCCTAGTTGGAGACCCCTGATTTAGAGTAAACAAACATGGTGGATGATGGGCAAGAAAACATGCCGATTATAGTGTTTGGATTGCTTTTTACAGAAAATTTTCCGTAAAAAAATCATTGCTGGTAAAAAATAATTGTTGGCACGTGAGGCAAAAAGTTCCTTTTGATTCCTGTTTCCAATGTTCTGGTTCAGTGAGAGGGTGTGTTTGTTTATGCATGTTATTACTTTGTCATCAGGCAGTCTGAGTGTCCGGGTGAGGAGCAGCAGCAGGAGACTTGTCCAGGCTTCCCGGTGGCTCTCTGAGGTAAGATTGATGAAGTAAGCCAGCGCTTCACTACAAACTCTAAAAAACACACACACACACATGCTCATCGGTACTGTCCCAAAACTGTCCCATACAGCACATGCAAAACTTGATTATGTGACTCATCCTTCAGTGTTTTACATAAAACAGTTCCTTTTTTAAGAGTCATACATCTATTTTGTATGCATTATAGTGATGTGTAGCGTCTATATTTAAAGCTTTCTAATTGTTAATAATGTTAGTGTAATTTAAATAATCACACAATAATAAAAATCAACTCAAGTGTAATTTCTTCAAATAATACCGAACACATCTCATAGCACAGATGCACTGTATAGAAGCAGGCAGACGGCTGCACTCACAGCAAAAGGCGTGTCTGGATATCTAGCCAGGAGTCTTGCAGCTGCGTGTCAGAGTACATGCGAAAGAGGATTCTCAGACTGCAGGCCAGACTGCTGGTCTCCTGCTTTAGAAGATTTGGTTTCGACTTCCCCTTAAAGCCTGCACGCAAGAATAATAAAAGAAATGCATAATAAAAAAGGCTGTCTCCTATAATGACAGCATTAGCAAAAGCCTGACGAGGAAATAAAAGAGCCTAGACCTGCTCTCCAGAGTGCAGTCCTCTGCTCATTGTTGGAGTTGAAGTCCTTGGCAAACCTGTGAGACTCAAGGAGGCAGTCAAGCAGTTTGAAGAGGTGCTGTGACGACAGGTGTCTGTACATACCCTGATCGGGCTCCGTCTCTCCCTCCTCTGCTTGCTCAAGTGCATCTCGCTATTAGGAAACACAAAGAGACGGAACAAACGACACTTAAAGTTAGCTCGCTACAAAGCCGTTCCTTGGCGGATCTCTCCAAATCACTGTGTGTTTGTTTCAATACTGCTGTGTTTTTTGTTGCATAAGGGGCTGTTCACGCAGGCCACATTGCTGCATTTGTCTATGCTGTTTATAAGGTAATCATGTCGATTTGAAATTTCTTGTGAGATGAATAAAGGCATTATCTAATCTAATTATCATTTATAGTTTATAAAGCAGATATTTGAATGGACTTGGGTTAAGTGAACACACCTGAGCAGCAGCCATGTTCTCAGCATCCTCCCTCTTGCTGGTAGCCGGGTAGAATACAATATTATCTATGGTCTGAATCAACTCCAGCTGTACGACGCACTTTATAAGCAGCCCTGCAAACAGCCTGTGGTCCGAGACCCCTACGAAGAGTAACATGTTATAAGTCACAGAAGGACAGAGAACTCTCGACAGAAAGGTGAAGTGTAAAATGGGCAACAAGGTAGTTTAATCCGCCTCCATTTAGTTTGCAATCAAGTGTTCCAAACAAATCTTGTATACTGTGACATAATTTTTTTTTTAAATAAGCAGTTTTATTTAGATAAATGCCACAACAGGG